AGACTGACAACAAGAACGCCACTGACATCGGTTGACAGCCATATCTTGTACGGTCTTCAACCAGGCACAGTGAGGATCACGCGGTCCCCAACCTGAAAGGCGAGTAGCACCGACACTACCCAAGCGTTTCGTGATCTCCTTCATACTCCTCTGCCAAGTCAAGGGTTGGCCACCTCTCTGTTTACGCCACTCAGAATTGGGCATGGAAAACAGCACTCTTCTCAGCAAACGGTGATTCGTCCTACTCAACACATGTCCCAACCAACGCAGCTTCTGGTGCTGGACACATTTTTCAGTGGAAGAATCCGTTGCACAACCGAAGACGCTCTTGCTGATTGTTCCATTACGGATTCGCCGACACCAACCCGCACGAGCTATGGTTCTGAGACAAGGATTGTTGAACACCTGAATGCGTCTCAGTTCCTGTATAGACTCATAAGGTTGCTTAAGAACATCATAAACGAGAGATTCAGCCGGGTTCCAGGTGAGCTTTCTGTCCAAACCAAATTGAAATGCAAATGACTGTCAGAATCCATCTTGCTTATTTGATCCACTCGTATCCACTTTTATCCCCATATCTACCGGTGGTCACACCGCGGATACTCTCAACAGCAACATCGCATACCCCACAAGCTGAACAACCAACTGGGGCCGCTGTCAGTCGATCACCTCATTTCCATCAAATATTTCTCATTGCGAATTGAGCAACCCCACCGCACTGAGCTGTCGGGCTGTTAGGCTGGCCAGAGTTGTCATGTAGACTGGATCTGTCGAAGTTGAGTTGTCATTGTAGTTGCGATAGGGATTAGTTCTTCACAAACTGGCCCGTTGAGTTATGAAAATACCAGTAATCATACAATAAGTGTAAATCAGAATAGCATTGCAACATTGTGTGTCGCTCGTGAGCTTTTCTCCGCTAGTGTCATGTGATCACGCTCACCCATCTCCTCTTACCTCCGTGTCAGGATGTTAAATAATCACCCGACGTCGACTGGTCAGCGATGTTACACCGATTGATCACACCACCCATCTAGGTCAGCGTGGTGTAATATCAAGAAAAGTAGGACCGATGTACATTTTCTGACGGGCATAATCTAGTGATGTGAACTAAGCAGAATAATTGCGTCAGAATGGAAGATGGCTGGTCGAATTAAGGTGAATGAAAATTCTACAAATCATGTGACTACCTGCAACCAATATATGACCAACTGTTCAGTTCCAAACCTGCCATCACGAACAGATTAGGTAAAGCAAGGCGGACGTGAAAACGAAAGTGCAGGTTGCATATGCTTCCAAAAACTCAACGAACCCAGGTAGGTGTATTCCTGGATTTTTTCGAACACTGTCCAAACGGAGTCCTGCAAATAGAAGCAGTATCAGTAATATGCATTTATTCCACTCATAGTTCATCGGCAAGACATTCGTACTTTTTTCAAATGGTTGCGAATTCCGTTCCCCATATGGTTCTCTGAGATCTGCACTACCGCTGAGACAACCAGCTGGACAACTAAAACTGTCCCACACAATGACAGAGTCACACTCTGATGAACCCCAGTCAAAATGCAGGGCTTTCCGCTGTTGGAAACGCCAAGTAAGCTACTGGGTTGTTGAAGATCCAGCTGGGTTTGGTCACCCACCAGTGACTGCAAAAGTTCGCAGACAGTCACACATCCAGGATGTGGAACTGTGGCTCTCATCAACTACCTTCTGGTTGGTATTGATTGCCTGAAATTCGCAGACATTTGTGACCCACAGCGACAAGCCGCAGCCGCACACAACTGGAAAGCCATCAATCAACCTGAATAGCTGCTTGCCTGTTTTGTATGGGTGAGTGTTACAGAACGCTCCAGTCGCTGCTTCTCTCCCTCTGAGCGTTTGCTCTTTCGTCATCGTCATTGCGAACCTACGTTACCTGTGGCGTAGGCGTGACATCAGTTTCTCTGTCAAGGGTCGGGTTTACAATGCTGCGGTGCGCTCCATATTACTATATGGATCAGAAACCTGGCCGCTGCGCGCCGAGGACGTCAAAAGACTTTCAGTGTTCGACCATCGATGTCTTCGGAGCATTGCCCGAATCTGGTGGGAACACCGGATCAGCAATTCTGAAGTACGTCGAATGGTATTCGGGAGAAATAAGTCACCCTCGATAGATGAACTGATCACACTGCACAGGTTGCGTTGGCTTGGCCACGTGCTGCGTATGCCAGTCGACCGACTTCCTCGAAGGGCTCTTTTCGCCCACCCATGTGAAGGGAGGAAGGGAGCCAGAGGCGGTCAAACAATGACTTGGCAGCGAAGTATGAAAGCCATTACTAGCAAACTCAGCTGCGCTGGTCACTGCCGTCTTCCTGGATGGGGACCCCGAGACGGGCCACATCAATGGCTAGAGACATTATCAGACATGGCCCAGTCGCGCCCTCAATGGCGCTCGTGCATCCAAGCTATTGCCTCCAATGCATAGCTCCTTTTCCCCCCCCCGCTTGACAACCCACTGACAGTACTGGATTTATGCACCAATTTACCAGCTCGCGCGTGCAATGCGCAGCTACCTACCCCCCCAATCATCGGTGAACGAAACTGTGGCAGCTACAACCAGTGTACGACCAGTACGCGGTTCTTACAGCTGACAATGATGATGATGATGATTCGTCATCGTTTACGATGTGTATCTGTCGTTTTTTCTATAACTGGATTTCACCCTCATTCCATTTAGGTCAGCCTCGTACCGAATCTCGTTGCCGGTTTGGGTGAAGCCATTCTTCAAGCAGTCCATCCCGGTGAATCGAACATGAGCATGGAGTCTGATGATGAACGCGCGAGTTCTTCCACTCTGGTTTCTGTCAGCGTGACCAACTTATTCGTCAGCGTGATGGAACTACTCACGGTAGGTCAATGTCTTTAAGAGGGGAACAATTTCCTTGTTGTTTTCTAGAAGTAACATACTACTCATAAGGTTGCTGAAAACTGTTTGTTCAGATACTACTTTCAATCTGACTGATATAATCCACTTAATCCGGTTCAATGTCGTACATCTCTTATTCTCGGAAACGAAATCAAGTGATGCGCGGAATCACTTATTGAGATTCGCCAACCACTCATGGGATTTTCTCCATGGGTAGCCAGTGTATTCGGAGCGTATTCAGAGCACAACTCAACTTGACATCACCTGCCAATTCAAAACAATAATCGTTCAGCTGTAGCACCCTTCCGGTGCGCAGCTGCCATGCCACCCGAAAGAAGCACGAGGGCTGGGATACTGTCAGGTTGCCCAGGCCTAGACAGGGGAAGTCGAGTGGCAGAGGTCGGGTTCGAACCACGGACCTTCCGGTTAGTAAGTAGTCAATGCATATACACCTGAAACACTTGCTAACGCAAGTATTCTAGGAGTGTAGCTGGAAGCTGACATAAAATTGGCTCGACTAACCCACGGTCAGTAGTAGATAGTGATGGATTAAGAGTAAGTGTAGTGCAGTCCGTGAGAAGGACGCAGGTGAAACAATTTTTTCTGGGTCTATGGACGGTTATGAAAGGTGATATGAAGGAACAAGTCTATACGGAACATACTCATGAGGGTGCCAAAAATTCTTCAGCAGCCCGCGTTCGGTTCGCCCCTTCTTGGGGCTCACCATTTAGACATAATCTCTCAGTCTCCGTCAACCTCATGTTCTTCTTGAACTCGAGTAGGATGCATTTCGCGAAACACTACTCCTTTGCACACTAGTTTGATTTCAACATAAAACTTTACTGAACCTCTCTTCCGCTGAATATGCTGTACCGATGTCATCTGGAACAAGCTTATCACCTTTCCGATGCCTGGCTGCCATGCCACCCGAAGGAAGCACGAGAGCTGAGATACCACCAGGTTGCCCAAGCTTAGACAGAGGAATTCGAGATGAAGAGGTCGGGTTCGAACCACGGTCAGTAAATTCGCGCTTTAACCACGGAGCCATTATGGGCTATTTTTGCACAGCCATTTTGTCCCTCAAGACAGCAATTGCGTTTTGCTCAGCTGTAGGCGCTCAAATGATGGTCTGCCTTGAGCCGGTTCAGTGTCACTGAAAACGTACAGAGAGTCTGTTGTGTCAGTCTAAATCCTTTCTCATGGTCACATCGACCGCATCCAGTCATTCTCTGAAACCAATGATTGATTTTGGATTGGCGATGTTCAAAATGCCCTTTCCAGCCTGCTTTGTCAGCTGTTCTCGGTTATCGTGATCGTCAACTTCCCAGTCTATACGAGGCTGTCAAAGGTTTCAGTACTGGCAGATCCCACTATCTGGTTTGTTGGTTGACCGATTGTAGACCTTACGGGATTGGGGACGTACTTCTGGACCTGGTGAGTCTATTGCCTTCCCATTTATTCTTCTGACTTGCCCTTTTTATCTTGGTTCAACGAAGCTGTCCATTCGCCATCATTAGTGACGTGAGCATTTCTAAATTGGAACGCCATTGTAGCGACCTGCTTATTGTAGTAATCCAGCAGAGGGCCGAGATTTTACGTGGGGTACACTTAAAAGTAAAAAAAGCATCTTCCGGCTGTAATACCCTTTGGAAACAGCTTTCATGCGTCTCGAAGGAAGTACAAGGCCGGAGCTATCGCTAGGTTGCCCAGACCTACACAAGGACACTCAGAAATCCGGGTTTACTTGTGAACCGCGGTCCTTCCGGTCGTTATCTTCGTCCCTTAACCATTCAACTATCCCGAGTAATTAGCTTAGTTTCAATGGGAACCGAGTGTTACCGCGGAGAGCGTAGCTGCCGCAATCCACTGGAAGTGAGCGTTGCTAAGAAACGTGCCTCTCTTAGAGAACCCACAACAGGACCTCCGTTAGCCGTCACTATGTTGAAGGTGATCCCGGTAGGGACAATCGTAAGAACCAAGCATTTGGTTTCCTCTGGGGTTCACTTACAGAACGCC